TAAAATCCAAGACCGACATTTTTTATACGCTCATGATATGTAAGGCCTACTTCATAGAGTTCAATTTTCTGGGACACACTGTTACCTATTATTCTATGCTAAAATTGTGATTGAACATTGGAAAATTTGGTTAGTTACTAACTTTACTAAGTACACTTTTTACAAAAGAACACACTTTATAAAAACACTGAAGCTGAAATATCAAATGAGGTTTATGAAAAAACAAGGTCTCGTAATCTCGAAAGCTCCTATTAGAACAGTACATTTAGATAGAAATGTTTAAATAATTAGAATGTTCATTTGTACAAAATTAAATGTCTTAAGATTGAAAAATAAAATGTCTTAAACTTGAAAAAAAAATTAAACACCATGACGCGATTTGACTCACGACCTAAACACATTGTTAACCGACCGCGCCATTCATGTGACGTGTCCTATTTGTGGTAATGGCAGTAATGTATAGACCTTGCTGAAACCCCTGTTTTGTTTTGTAGGTGTATGGGGCACCCTAGAGTTGCTTAAAAAAATAGCCATGAACGTTTGTTAGAAATCACCTCTAGTTTATGTGTACAAAATTTCCTGCACGTCCGTACAAAACTGGCTACGCTGACCTAAAAAGATATATTAAACACTCAGCAGTATGACCCTAACGGGCGCCCATACAAAAAAATGTATTAACCAATGACCAAAAAAGATCTATTAACCAATCAGCCAAGTACTCCTAGAGCTCTAAAACTATTTTACAAATTATATACAAAAAACAACCAATCAAGCTAGTCACATGCAGTAAAGTATTAGTTTTAAAAAATTAGTATTAGTTTTAAAAAAAGATATGTCAACATTATATCTACTCAATTAATGTCGTCAGATCTGAAATTGCATCAGAGGACGACAAAAATACTCACCTAAGCATGCGCTGAAATTTATGATTTTTCTCCTCAAACCAACTGTTATCATACAGTTTCGTATTTTTCTGCCAACAATTAGAGTGTCAATGGTTGTAAAGTACGGTGTAAAATAAGAACAAAATGAAAACATTTTAAGCTGAAATTGGCAAACTATAAGAATACTGAGTCTGGACAAATGTTTACTGTTGCTTTTTTAAGTGTAATTTCTTCTCATCACAGGAAGGAAGTTTTCACCATAAAACACGTTTATAAAAATAGCGACTGTCGCCATTGAGTTTTGTTTTTTGTTTTTTCAAATGTTGAGTGAGTGCACTGCCTTCTACGTCACACCCAATCATCGATGAGGTGCGCAGGGTGTAACAACAGACACAATATGAGAGCGGTGTCAACAAAGTTGTGACGTCAATTTGTTCCGCTTTAAATAAGGGCTAATGATTTAGGAAGAGCGATGAAAACAACCCAATAGAGACTTATAATTGAATGATGAGCCCGGATAAAAAGCTGTTAAGAAGTCACTCGAAGTTGGCTTACATGTTTATAACTCTCAACAGCCTATTTACAACTTCAAATTATTGTAATGTGCAAGTGGAACTGCTTAAAAAATTAGGCATACTTAACGAATTCCGTCTTATTTCCGTTCATTTTATGACCACATACGTTTTCCTCGCTCGAGAATGTTTTACGGTTATAGATATTTCGCATTGCTTCTCTACCGATTAGAATTCAAACTGATCATGTTTTACCTCACTATATACAACATTTCAATATGCCTTCATATATTACTCAATAGCTAAATTCGAACGACGATTAGGCAGAAGATACCACCGAGATAATCGTCCTTCTGTGAACTCCAAACGATAATCATCACGATTGAACGTTTCTAAGCGTCAGATCGTGTTAATATATCGCTTAAGATTTTGATGCAAACTAATGATGATAATCACAAAGATAAAGTAACAACGGATAACAACGGATTGTAGTCAATAATGTTTTATTAAAAACATTCGCAGTACTCTTCTTTATGTAATTTATCTCTCAACAATGAAAAACAAGCGTTTAGTGTTGTTTTAAAAAACATTGGTTGTATCAGTTAAAATAAAAACATCTCTTCCAAAGAAGTACGTCATACCTTAAATCCCCCCGTCTTTTACAGTTTTATTTATATTTTGGTTTTGTATCCATTAAAAATAATTGTTATTTTTTGGTGTTTTTTTATTGCACTGAAGATGTAGTAAATACGAAAGAACATCCTATTAAAAGTATTTTTGTTATATATTAATGTTTGCGGTACACCACGTAGATAGTTCTGAGAAGAACTGTTATTGGTTGAGAAAGTCTTATAGATGAATTAAATAGATTGCATATTCCAATACTCAAATATAGGATTAAATACCCTGTCTCTTATACACATCTAGATGTGTATAAGAGACAGGGCTAGTACCCCCGACAGGGTGACTAGTACCCCTGACATCCATGTTTGTTTATTATTATTATTATTATTATTATTATTATTATTATTATTATTATTATTATTATTATTATTATTATTATATATATATATGCATATATATATACATATATATATTATTATAATACATATGCATATATATACATATATATTATATATATAATGATATATATATATATATATATGTTAAAATGATTGTCTCTTGTAATAATTGTTGTAATAAAAGGGAGAAATATAATATTATGGCATTGAACAACATAACAGATAAACCTGAGGAAATTACATATTTCATTGTCTGAGTAAAGGAGAAAGCAGCAAGTTACGGAGAGTAATTAGATATTTTAAAAGGAGTTCATCAACGCACTGTGATGGTTTTATGATTAGCTACACTAGATGGATCAATCCCTGTAAATAGTGATCGTTTACAACCAACTCTTTGTAGACACATCAAAATCAATTCTGTTTACACGATATTAAAAGTGTTATCACTGTCGACACCATCCGAATGCCGCTGCACTTTATGACATTCCACTGAATATACAAATCACATAGTTTAATGTTTTGTGCTTTTACGACGTAATTTATGACGTCATCTCACTTTGCATGTACTTCTTTAAGTAAGTAAGTAGTATGTTCTTATCTAAGCTGATGTTACTGTTTCATTAGCCATCTTCTTTTGAAAATTGGAAAAAATTAATGGGGATTACACGCGGTGAGGTCAGTGATACTACAAAATGAGACATCAAACAAGGCAGAGCTAAGTCCTGATATCGCATTAAGGATGACGTCATAACAACTCTGAATGATATAAGGAAGGAAAATGTACCGGGATAGATGAGATCCTAATACTCAAAGAAGAAGAGAACCGTTCTATAGCCAACCAGATTAAATGAATGTAGTTTTGTACTTCTGGAATGCCATTGTCATACCTCTTCACATAGAAAAGAATATCATGGATCTAAAAAATCCAATTAACAACTGAACAATGAGAAAAGAGCCCGTAATACGCGCTTGTCCCACAAACACAAGCACGTATTACAGAGAGAGCAGCTTAGCTCAGTCGGCTAATCTGGTGGTAGCCACTGTGTGTGCGCTGAACCGTGGAGATCTCTAGGTCTCCGGTTCAATTCCCAAAGCTGCCTCTCTTGTATTTCAGCAGGAGGGCTGAAATACAAGTTAATAGGGCACCGTCTTTCGGATGAGACGCCGTTGGTCGCATGTGCACTTATGGCCCATGTGCACGTTAAAGAACGCAGTACACTCTTCGGAAAAGTGTAGGGGATTGTCTCCCGGTGTACTGCCCAATCACCACCAGAAGGATCCCACTGGAAATAAGTCTTCTTCTGAACTTTCGTGGGCTATCCTTGGTGTTTACACCGAATAAACCCAATCAAATCTAACACGTGTTGTCCCACAAACGCAAGTACGTTTACGCTGTCGTTTTGTTAGAGCTTAGCAAAAATATCTATGACACGGGGGCTAGCAGAATAGTCCATTACATGTGTGCTCACTATAACCAAATGTTGCTTTTATACTGAGGTAATTTAAAATGTATTCAACATTTGAAAACATTCATTAGCAAGCCTGATAATGTGTATATTATACTGGAGCTCTTTTTCTTGCAGTATATTCTTGTGCATTTGTCGTACGGAAATAGTAATATTTGTAAAATTGAGGGTGAGTAAAATTTTCGAAAAATGTTGTTTTTAGCATGAATATGATGTGAGCAGAAGATCATACTGTACGTGTTTTGTAATCTTTAATCCTTTTAGTGGGTGGAAGGGAAGCCGGTTCATGATGACGGCACTGATTTCTAGTACGGTAGTTTATGTTTACAATGTATTAATTATTTACGTTATTAATTAATTAATTATCAAAGGCTTGGACTCCGGACATCGTCAATATACATACAAGTTAGAAAATACGAATAGACCTGATAGAGATTCGATTGTCAAATAAATAATGAATTAATATTTTAAACCAGTGGCGGATATAAGGGAAGCCCGTCCCCAACCCCTATTTTTCAAAATTTAACAAAAATTTAGAAAAAAAGAAAAGGAACATTTTACTCAAATTTAAGTCTAAGAGTGGCATTTTCGGCCGTTCAAAGGTGACATAATCATAAATGTTCTTACCTCAGCCCCAACGTTGGCGTGGCTAAGGTAGATACACTCTCCGTCTGTGAAAGTCCTTCTCTGCCCTCTCTATTTCCAATTCCTGGATCCGTCACCTATGTTATGAATCTTCTCAGCTCTGCGTTTGAATAAAAGGAAGAGTCTTTTACTTTTCATGTTTCTATACTTTATTTTTCATGACCTGGTGAAAATAAGCATTAAATATAGTCCTCTAATCCGTTAAATAAGGCCGTAGCTTCCGGGGCAGGAGCGCTTCGCCACCGGCCCCACCAAGGATCTAATCCTTGATCCCGCTGGGGCCTGCAATGGTCCCCCAACGGACCCTAATCAATGGCCCCGGGAAGCAAAGCTGCCCCGGGGCCCTCGGCCGCTCTCGGCAGCCATGTATACGCCAGTGCATGGAGCAGGAACTAAAATACAAGGAAGTAAAATGTATAATCATGTGGTAGGTATATGTACTGTGCATTTTAACCTCAATTAGGTTTTATAGTCTATAATAGTCAATTGTGAATACGATACCTGCAATGCTTATACGGCTATGTATGTTGTATAAAGACAAACTGTGTAGCCATCATCGCAAAATGTACTTAACCTGCATGATACTGATAACCATGGTATTAAACTTTGGTAAATATGACATCTTCTTGTCTTGAATACTCTTAATGTTAGAGGCTACCAAGTGTAGCATGTCTGCTACGATAGTTAGAATTAAAAAGTAAATGGTTTAGACTGAACTATTGTGTTAAAAACATTTTGACTATAAAGCAATAATATAGGCCTACTTTGATTTTACATTATAGAAAGTTCTAAGGATCCTATACTCAGTATACTTTGCTTCATTTTTCACAAATTTCTGTTAGCTTTCTTGAAATATATCCTTTGTTTCAAGTTCCATGTATCCTTGCTCAATCTAGGCGTGACAGTAAATCCTGCTACAGCAAATTTGCGGGAACAATGTAACGATGACATTTTGCAATTTTTGTCTGTGTTTATAATAATTATAAATATCAGTTGAAAGGATAGCTTAGACAGGCCTAGGCGGTCTAAACTGGTCCCTCACCATTGTACTATCACTATTTTTTGGATTTTCCATTTGGGTGAGTGGGGGGGGGGGTACCTTTGGTGAAATAAACGTTATGTTGAATTTAATTGAATTAAATTCCCACCTTGCAATTGATTACAACCGTTAAAAATAGGCTCCCAGTGTGTCTGCATTGAATAAAAGTAAATTCCCACCTGAACATGGAGACAGACCTGCGTTTGTCGTATTAAAAGTGATTCAGATGGTGTAGAACAGGGGAGTAACTTAAAACCACAAATCAGTAACTACCGTACAGTGTGAATAGTAACAATGACTGTGTGACGTCCTGTCGGAGTAAACAATACAGGTTACTATTTGTGTTGAGCAATTGATTACAACAGTTAAAAAGGCTCCCAGCGGGAGCGTGTGTGTACTGCTTGACATATGTTTCTTTTTTCTACGTTTAATTGGGAGGCTTCGCCACCAGGACCAATTTCAAAAGATTATAAGTTTCTGTGGACGACCAACAGTACAGTTACACTAGCTAGCTATGAGTCCACGACAACGTACTGTACGACAGACCGATGGGCTAATGACATACAAGCATAGGCTAACCTATACTGAAAAGTAATGTAAACTGAAACTCGACAGACAACAAACAGACCCAAAATGAAATGTCAAAACAAGCTTTCATCTACCGTAATAGTACTAATTCTAAGTAGACACAAAAACATATTTTATAATAGGTAGGCCCATTTCAGTTATTTTAAATCTGTGGTTTGATTTGTTTCAAAATTGTGCTTAGTTCCAGGTGTCCTTGCTCAATCTCGATCCGTGACAGTAGATCCTGCTACAGCAAAATTGGGTGAAGATGCGTTGATGACGTTTACATTCACATCTGCACAAGGTGAAGATATTATAGTTGTGGTTTGGTTCAAAAGTGATGCAGATGGTGCAACACAGGGAGATCACTTATTATCAATAACCAACAGTAAATACAGTGTAAATAATAACAATGAACTTGTGATAAGTAATGTTGGAGTAAACGATGCAGGTTACTATCTGTGTAGAGTAATTACAACTGGTGGTAATAATGCAGAAGGTTTCTCAACATTAACAGTCCACTGTGAGTGATGGCTACACATTTTAATGTTATTTTGTATTTTACTACAATTAGTAGGGCTAACTCAATAATTCTAAAATAGATGGTTGCACACATGCATTAGGAGAAGCACTTGTGGCTGTGTCCTAGTATGGTGATGCAGGTGGTGTAGTACAAGGGTATCCTATAATAACTAATCCCTTGGATTCAATTTATTGGATCCACAGTGGCACTCATCATTATGCATGGTGCATCCACGAAATATACAAAAATGATAACACATATATATAGAGAAAGAAAATTAACTTAAAATTACAAAAAAAAAAGTAAAACTGAATACGGCACAAGAAGGTGCTGTAACTTAAATAGAATTGGATATACCTGATAATTTCTAGTGCTACAAACGAAGATAAAGTTTAATATCTGTGTAGAGCAACTACACAACAAACAGATTTCACGGACTTACTTGCCATTAAAAAATGAGTATATTACAATGTATAGGTTTCATTTTGCCCTACCTGACTTGGAAATGCACTGAATACTCAGCACGTGTGAAAACAATTGCGAATAAAGATCGCAAGTTGTTCTTGGGTGGCACTCGAACCCTCGATCTCCAGAAAACAAGCCTGGCATCATACCTCTATACCACCGAGATTGCGCCTGATCTGAGTATTCAGTAGGCCTACATTTCAGGTAGGGCATTGATTCTACTGACGAAAATTCAGTTATTGTCTATTCCGTCACGACAGTAACAATTACTGTTTTACAATGTCAACCTGAAATGTAACGTCATTTGCTGGAATGTT